TGTTCGGCGATGGGCTGATTGATGATGACGATGGCCACATCGGGACGCTCAACGAAGGTCTTAAAGGCTTCCTCGATGTCATTACGTCGGGTCTCTAATAATAAGAGGACCATCAGTGATGATGATTATTATTATATACTTACTGGCATCTACTACGAGGAAGTTAGTAATACCATTACCATCACGCATACCCGAACCAGCTAGACAGAAACCTGATACGGTCTCCTCATCACCGATAATGGCAACATGTAAGTCCGACTTCTTAGCGATCTTATTGGCAACCATTTTAAGGAGGATATTATTAAACAAAGGATACTAAAACAGCATACTAAACCATAATCGGGCGACGCAAAACTCAACAGTATCATCGAACAATTATATAATTCCATAATTCCTACACATGCTGTCATCATCATCATCACCAACTACTACTAACAACCATCTCACTCAATAAAAAGCCAAGACCAGCCACGACGCAGATCGACACAAAGGAGACAGCTAACCCTGGTCGAAGGAAATCCGACGACTTTAGCCAAGGATGGTTATCATCCCCTTGCCTCCTTATCGCCGTCGCGTTGATATTGGGTGTTGAACTAATAGGGAGAGCGCATCCCACTGAGAGTGCCAAAGCAGCGGGCATTGCAAGCACAGCAACACCACCCCTCAAGTGTGGGGGCACTACCACTTCTCCGAGGGTACAAATGAATGGCATCAACACGTTGGCTGCAGCCGTGTGCGACACTAAAGTAGACACGAGTGTCACAAAAGTGACAGTAGCCAAAATGCATCCCCATAAAGGTGCCTGTTGGAATAACACTGATGCACCATTACTCGCAACCACTAACAGTTGGGAGTCTTTCACTGCCAAGGCCAAGGCTGAGCCTCCCGCTAATAGAAAACATACATCCCATGGAAGTGAGAGGAAATCTGCCTTAGTTAGCAGACCAGGAACAGCATATAGGGCTACCAACGGCACCAATGCTGATAACGATACATCACCGAATAGGAGTACTGTGAACGACGAGTAAAGCCACATAGTCACCGTTAGAAAAACAATAAAAATAACATAAAGTCGTCGCCAATCATCGCAGAAATGACTACTGCCAGAACCACCACCACCGAGGCGCGGCGGCAATACTAGATGGTCTGAGTCTGCGGGAGGTAGTAAACCACCGAGCAGCGGACCTTGTCGAACTTCTTCAGTCGGAGCCAAATAATCTGGTTTAAGCAGCCAAAAGGTAATACCCAACAAGACGAGGCTTGTTGGAATACCTACTGCGCACCACTCACTGAAGGATAAGCCGTAGTTAGTGTGGAGTAAGGCGAAAGCGACGACGCTTTGGGGGGAGGCTACCGGACTGGTCATACCTCCAATGTTGCATGCGAATGCAATTGCGACTAATAAGGATCGACCGTAGTTGAGAGTCGTAACACGATTTTGAGGAAGTTCGTCCAGAATAGGGCAAGCAATACTCATGCAAAGTACACTGGCCGCTACGTTACCAACAGCTGCACTTGAGCTGTATCCGAATAACATCAATACCATCAGTGTACGTGTTCTACTGCCTCCTGAGGCAACTCGTAGGAGCACACAGGCTATCTCCTTATCAATGCGCAACTTAGATAAAGCTGCAGCCAAAGAGAAACTGGCCAAGACCATGAGCTGAGCACCACCCCACATGGCTGCCATCGACATGCTTGCCGCAATGCTACGGCTACCTCCACTAGACGGTAGTGTGTCCATAAGTACTACCAATAGTGGCACTGCCAGACCAGTCACATGGAGTGGTACCGTCTCGAGGGACCAGAGTGCACTGGCAAGCCACAATAGTGCGAGGCATCGTGCTGCTGATGTTGGCAATCGAGGAATGTCCAACAGCAAAATTAATAAAAAAACCGCAAAAACGATTGTATAAACCACAATTGGGAGCCAATAGTCTCTAATATAACCCCAACAACCGCGTTGAGGTAGCTGCTTGAGCTCCACTGACGCACACAGTGGGGTTACTAACGAGCTGCGCGCCTTATCCTGTTCGGGGGTAAGTGAAGATGAACGTTGTAAAGTGGACTCGCGACGTTGAGTCGACCGTATTTGTACGCTACCAGAGGCGATGCCTAGCCTAGACCTTCGCCTGAAAAGGTCGGAATGATCGGAGAGCTTAGCAGGCGCCACGTGGATATGAGGTCAACAGGATCGTCGTACAACAGCAATTCGCCTTCACTACTGATGATGAGTGATGAATCGTCTATTGTATATAACAATATTGAACTACTTATCGAATTGTTGATTTAACAACGTATCACTCGTAAAGAGCTTGGATGTTACAATAGCTGGTGAGTTTTCCAGCGTATAGATCATGACGTTTACTCCCCTTGTTGCGATGCTGCCGAATCAATTCGCGTTGGCCAGCGCGAACTGTCTCTACGCGAGTAGTCGATCACAGAGATACGGCTCAGCAGTAGCAGCTCAGCGCGGCGGTGCCCCCTCTATGTTGGATCCAACATACAGTGAGAGCGTGCTACTACGCTGTCTATCGCGGATATCGATCAATGGGTTAACAACACGGTTGGGGCATACATAATGATCGTGTCGAGAAGGTATACATAGTGTCATCAGCCTACGTTGTGACTTCAATGGTCCTGACGCCCACATCTATGGAGTTTATATGATTATCGATGGCATCATAACATAGTTCGAGACGGATACAGATACACTCCTTTCTATGAGGACCACCCCCAGGCCAGGGGAAGTGTCCTGTATTAGGCAGGATTACTGACTCGTTGCAAGTTGGATGATCAGTCGAGTTTAGTCGAGTTTACAAACAGATTTACACATGTAAACTATTGTCCTTAGAATATTTGATACAACCGTTTCCCCTTACCTCTCGAGCCTTATTAAATCATGCCATACCGTACCGCGGTCCCAAACCAACATCTCTGATAATGCTTGAGACAACTCGTCCACAGCAGTTGCCTTATCACCACCACAGAAGCTCGCAGCATAACTATAAAAACGAGGAATAACAACAACCGACAAGATATAGAAGAACAATGACCTCTTCTGGATGGAGTTTATCATGGGCAAGACTTCCGTTTGGACCATATCGGTCATCTCACAGAGAGCTGCACAGCCGACGAGGAACTCAGCACGGTGCGCAGTACCGTGGAACTTGTCGAATTTTTTCACAAGCTTTCTGGCGCCCTATTAGCAGACATAAGCTAATCTCGGTAGGCCAAACACTACCTCCGAATTGAGGCGGACGAAGTTGCATAACTCGTTCAACTCTAAGTAGATTTCCGCACAGGATTTCCTGTACTTCGGGTGTACCTTCGGATCGGCAACCACAGCTGCCTCACCGAGGAGATCCTCCATCCACGACGCCAACCTCGAAAGGATCTAATAACAACCAAAAATCACCGATAACCATCAACGTGAATTTACATCATTAAAATATGTTCTCACTCTTTCCAACTCCGACAGTACTTCCTCACTGAATTCCTAAATCGGTTGAAGATAGAAAACATGTCTGCAAGCTGCCTACCTGCCAAGCCACATGAGTCGGGGTTATTCCTGTTCCCTCCAGGTCATGACGTTGTTCTTTAATAAGCTTCTTGAGTCGTTTATAATTAACATAACCATCATGCCATGGGCCAAAGGCGTTGTACTCCAGCTCATAGCTGAATTTCATAACGACAACACTGAGAATAACAACATAAGAGATGAGAATACAACAGTGTTGATGAATACAGTGTAAACCAAACCTCCCTGATGCCAACTGATGTTCATGGGATAATCGATCAATGGCTGTAGAAACATAAACAGGGTAATAATGTGAATGAATTATTATTAAATTCCACATAGTTCCTCCGTAACGATTCGTCCAGATAGCTATGACCCGATCACTAATTAAAACAATATGTACCACACCAATATGAACTAGCAAGATCCCTCCTCCAAAGCTGCTGCTGCTGCTCTCAGGGCGATAGAGATTCTGTAAGACATCAATCGAGACGACTCACTACGCGCTGCTACTATGTGTTTTTAGTAGGACACGGAGACCCCTTCTGAATTGTCCATACCACACCTCCGCGAACTCCTCCATGAACCAACATAGTACCCCCTAATTCCGTCGAACAAGCATAACGACGACAGCAACAATTGTCGTCGAAGCCGAGAAAGATGAAGCGGTTCAGCAAGCGTGAGCTTGCTATAACCCCCGTTCGAACCCCACACTTGACATTTTTACTGCAACACAAACTGCCACTACATTGAAATGTTACCGAAGAAACCGATCCAACTACTTCGTTATCGACCCCCAGCCCCACTAAGGTCTACTGAAGGCCGCGACCGTTAGTGGATGGCCGTCGTAATTAAGCCTGGCCGAAGAACATCTGCACACGTTGCATGATGGAATCCTGATGATAATAATAATAACAGAGGTGGTGATTGTTGTTGTTGTTGTTACCTGAGCTGGGTTATAAGGAGACTCCTTACTCGGTATCTCGAGAACGGCAGGTATAGCTGAACCACTACTGGTGTACTTTCGGACAACATGACGGATTTGTTCGGCGATGGGCTGATTGATGATGACGATGGCCACATCGGGACGCTCAACGAAGGTCTTAAAGGCTTCCTCGATGTCATTACGTCGGGTCTCTAATAATAAGAGGACCATCAGTGATGATGATTATTATTATATACTTACTGGCATCTACTACGAGGAAGTTAGTAATACCATTACCATCACGCATACCCGAACCAGCTAGACAGAAACCTGATACGGTCTCCTCATCACCGATAATGGCAACATGTAGGTCCGACTTCTTAGCGATCTTATTGGCAACCATTTTGAGGAGGATATTATTAAACAAAGGACACTAAAACAACAGCATAAACCATCGCAACCGAGCAGAGAACACAACCAAATCCAATGTTAATATTCCCGAGAGAATGATACCATGCGACTACCAACTTCCCATGGTGGAAGTAGGCGTGAGAGAAGCACACTCCCCACGAGTGCTGGTCACTGGCATGTACTGCCTCAACAGCTCGATGTTATACATCATGTGTTCACGACCTGCCGGGCAACCTCCGTTCATACTTCCGAAGAACTTCGATAATTTTCTCGATGGTGCTCAGATGAAAATGATGGGCAGTCGAGCTGAATAACAGATAGAAAAGAGGTTGTTAGGAACGACCCGCTTACCTGAATGTCACCATACACTCTACCATGTGAGGTAATCCTTCGGGGTCTCAAAGCGAGCAGGCCGAGATTGGCAGTTAACTGTGAATGATATACTCAAGTGGTTTGTTCATCAACAGACACCGCATTTATGGTTGGTGAGTACTACTTAAAATAAGCAACTTCCTCAGCGACTTCATTGACATCTTCTCTAGACTTCATCACATTGTAGGAGATGCCTTGCATGATACCTAACGTTATGGGGAAAAAGGAAAAGTCAAACACTGAATTGCGCTTCGGAACTAAGCTAAAGCGCGCTTAGGTCTGGTGCACGATGGTATGCGATCAGACCTATTCTGAATCTTGCACAGACGACCTCAAGATACTTACGCGCGAGTAATACCAATCACTGCACAGAATGCAAAGTTTAGTGCACTTCATGAACGATAGCAACAACGTACAAGGCAGTTCACAACGAATGACCATACAACGCAAGATTGTCACTAACCATCGTATCGCTAAAGCAAAGGCATCTCAGAATATCCCCAGAGTTTGACCAATGCGGAATAAAATGACCGACGAAGGCGTCGATGGTGTAGTTGATGAAAGCCTCAACCACTTGCAGTCAGCTCAGCAAAGAGGCTCTGCATTGACGTCTGGCAACGTGCCGTTTTGTTGCGAGTAGCGCGGCTTTCATGCATGGCCGTCACGCGCCATAAAACTAAGCGCAAGCCCAGGCATAGAAAATGGCAGTTAAAGTTGAACACCCACATGATGCTTCTGCTGAAGAAGGGCTGACCCCGTTCCTACATACAGGACGGAGGCATGATAAGCTTATACACTTTCTGATGGGCTCTTATTAATCTCAAAATGACCTGTTTCTCGTTAACCGTTCACACCGATTTCGAGGCTCGAAATCTACGACTGATGACGGTCCAAGTCGTATTCACTCAACACATTTCAAGAATCGTTCCGCAGAGTGGATCCCATCAATCAGGCATGATCCTGTTGTTACACGAGATGTGCGTAGTAGATGCGTCCATTTCTCTGATCCCTATACTCATAGAAATGTATTAGATAGCACTAACTCAGTGGCATTAAGCCTGAGAGTTGATATACACGAGAGCACGCAGCTAGTGAGGTCAATATTATCCGCTCGGCCATCAATCAGATATGGTATGCCAAACTCTTGCATAGGACTCCATCCACACATTGGGAGAGCTCTAATCGAATATCAAGTGTCTTGTCAACTCACTCCTATCGGTCGGCAGCAACCAGCGATACAACCTCAGGATCATAGTCATGATAGACTCAGGAACGGACCGCCGCAGGATGTACACGTGCCTCTATCAAGCTAGACTCAGTGTGAGAGGGAAATATGCACGAGGCTGCATACAGGACGAGGGAGACCTCTACATGATTCTCCCACAATTATCTCGACCAGGGCCAGCTCGATCCGGTGTTGTTCCCTTTAATGCGTAGTTCGCCACGGTCCTTCATCCGATGAGAAGTTATTCTTTCAATGCAAGAGTCATGCTTGTACACCTAGGAAAGAATGTACTTCGATTATACATGGCCCAACCCGAAACCCGAGCTGTTATACGGGTGAAAGCTGTTACGGTAACAGTGTTACCCAAGGCAACCAGGAACCCGAACTGCTGAGAGAGAGCGACAAACCTTCTTGGATTTTGTCATTTTTCTTTGTTTTTCGTAATTTACCCATCTTGGGTGGGCTCTTGAAGGTCTATTCAACACGCCGAGTGTTGAGTTCAAATCGATCGAAATGGCGCGCGCGATTATTGTCGAAGGATTGATGGACTGTGTCGTCGTCGTCGTCGTCTTCCATGATGCCGCGGACTGTCGTCGTGCTTAGTGTCTTATTGAATGTCTAGGGATCCCAGAGGTGCTGCTCCCCCTCCTTCTGCTGGTGGTGCGGGATACGATAATCGTACGGCTGCTAAGGTATTAAAGGATATACAGAATAGGTTGATACAATTGCATGATACGTCTGTCAGGCTCGGATTCCAAAGGCTCATCAAGACTGGAAAATCCCTGAACAGTATGAGATTCGGCAGCTGATCGGTACTGGCAGTTACGGGCACGTTTGTGAGGCTTATGATAAAGTAATAATAGGAGGTTTTACTGGTATTAGCAGCAACCTCCGTATTTCAGTACAACCAGAGAATTGTTGCTATCAAGAAAATTCACAGAGTATTCGAAGACCTTATCGACTGCAAAAGGATCCTTAGGGAGATCGCTATACTCAATAGGTAGTACTCAGGAGAAGAAGGAATTATGGTATAGACTTGGCTAATATCCCTGGCTCAGTGATAGAAGGAATATTTGTAGTTTACTTCTCAGTAATGTTATCCTCGTTCAGGTTGGACCATGATCATATAATAAAAATGTTGGATATCTGCCCACCTGATGATCTCGAACATTTTGATGAACTCTACATTGTATTATGTCTTGTACATTTGCCCCCTCAAACAAGGTTCAGGTTCTCGAGATTGCCGATAGTGATTTCAAGAAGCTGTTCCGTACGCCGGTATTCTTGACTGAACTTCACATCAAGACTTTGCTATATAATCTTCTGGTCGGAGTCAAGTACCTTCATTCGGCTGGGATACTTCACAGAGATTTGGTATTGGATCTTCACCATTTAATACCGTTATTATCACTCTATTCAGAAACCTGCAAATTGTCTAGTCAACCAGGACTGTTCGGTGAAGATCTGCGACTTTGGATTATCGAGGGCTATAGGGATGGAAAAACAGCTGCACTTACAGCAGTTGCCTAATACCCCAAGAGAGATCGATGTACTATGCGGGGATCGAACCTGGGTCGTCAACATGCCAGTGGGTTGTTGATAGGCTGAGGACGGAACTGCTGGGGCTGCATCGTCGCTCGCTGCTGGCCCGATTGTCCCTCACACCCAAAACCTCAAGAGACAGCTTACTGGTCATGTCGTCACGAGGTAATACCTCTGTATTGATCCTCCTATAAACTCTTTTATATCGTCCAGATGGTATCGAGCACCGGAGCTGATACTATTAGAGGAGAACTATGGTGAAGCAATAGATGTTTGGAGTGTTGGTTGTATCTTTGCTGAACTCCTAGGTAATCGTATTCCATCATAGCTTAATAATACATATCATCATAGGTATGATGAAGGAAAACGTCGCGTTCCCATCGGATAGAGGTCCGCTCTTCCCCGGTAGTAGCTGCTTCCCACTTTCCCCTGATCACAAACATGCTACTGATTACAAGGTTGGTTGTTGTTGCTGCTGCTTATGGTGGTGGTGGCCATCTTGAGGCCTTTGGATATGTGCTCATTAGTTTCATACTCGGGGTAACCGAGATCAGCTGAATATGATTTTCAATATTTTGGGCACACCGTCTGATGAGGATATCGAAGAACTAGAGAAAGAAGATGCTAAGAGGTGATAGTGGGACGGTTAGGGTTCATGTCTTCTCATCTCTACACCCGTGTTCTATTCTTCCTAGTTGTATTTCCACCAACATTCCTTTCCGTTCAGGTACATTAGATGCTTTACGCGTCGCGACGGAACTGGCATCAGGGATAAATTTAGGGGTTCTTCTCGTAAGCATTTGGATCGAAATGACGAAATGAGAGCTCTCCCTCAGCTGAGGCATTGGACATCCTAGACCGCATGCTCGTTTTCAACCCTCGTAAACGTATTACCGTCGACGAGTGTCTCGAGCATCCGTTCTTTAAGGGTATTCGAGGAATCGAGACCATCGCGAAAGATGAGGTGATGATGTCACTTATGCCCTGATAGTTAACACGGCAACTACATCCTACTATTTAGGTCTTCCTTCAATTCGAGCTCGAACCTGAGTTAGATGAGATGCAGCTTCGAAAATACTTCGTCATGGAGATGCAAAAGTTCCACCCGGATGTACGATGTGACGAGGTTGTGGTATTGGGTTATATCTGGTGGCGTAGGTTCCAATGCCGGCTCGATTCCAACGCATCTAGATTCGTTGGCCATGTTGATGATGGAGGCGATTATTGAAGTACCATTTTTTCTACTAAGTACAATTTGTGTGGTTGTTGATGCTGCTACTGCTGCTGCTGCTGGTCGTTATGATTCGATGTTCTTGCCATCCGTTGCGTCGGCAAAATGCAGAATAGGTGCTGCCTCGGTCATCACTGTTTGCTGATGGTAGTGCTATTGGGGCAAAGCAAGATCAAGCTGTTTTTTATTCAATCGATAACTATCAGTCAACTGCAGCTCATAGTCCTTAATAATGATGATTGATTCCTATCCAGTGGCGCGGTTGAGTTATTATTCATCTTCGAATATCACTCACATAGTCGTAACAAAAATATTAACGCAGAAAACACAGTCGTAAACACCTTGTAGGAAGGGTGCTGCTTATTCCAATCTTCCATGGAACACGAGATAGAACCGAGCTGAAAGGGTATTAAGCATAGATACTCTCGAGATGGTGAGTGGTTATATCAATGATGTCATCTGTAATCTGCTCAAACATCATGAAGTCCCAATAAAGCCGACTCGTAAACGTATTGTTGAATTCCACTAGATGCGCAGTGACATGGAAGTCCTCGCACGCTTGACAAATACTTGGCCAAATACCAACACCAAACGCCATCAAAGGGGAGCCTCTACGGTCAGTATCATAGTCGGTACAGCATGTGCCTCCTCCAATTAGGGTGGTGGTGGAGTTGGGTAAGGTCGATAGATCGATTGGATTCTGTGATGTATGATTTGCAGATTGAGAGGTAAGGAACGAGGGAGAGAGATTCCAATGGCTCCCACGGCATGAACGATTACTGCCATTATACCTATCCAAAATGGTCATTCACATGAGAACTATAGCTATAGCTTGCCTCCAGTTTATAATATAGTTAACTGATGGATCCCCACATACTCGATCAACATGGCTCTTAACGACATCTGACCGATCTATAGCGCTGCTATTGCCATCCCATAGAGGCGTCACTAAACCGCCGCTGAGAACAGTTTCAACGACATCTATTCTGTCGCTTGGGCCTCCCCAGACACGTTCGAGTTCGGTCATTTGAAAGTAAATATCTTTAACACTTCTCGATAGACGAGCATCGATGTAATTGAGGGGATCTCCAAGGAAGAGGTCCAAGACGATTTGAAAGCCGTAATTCACGAGACTATACTGCGGCATATGAATTGTCTCATTGGCGGTTAGAAGTGCCTCAACAGAATTCCATAAGTTGCCGATATATGGGGTGTAGGGATCAGGCCTATGAACGTAGTATTCTGGTTGGACCTGAGACACCAAGTCCGCTTGTTGTTTGGACACCTACGCTCACCTGTTTGTCGGCTGGCAGAGGATTATGGACAGTTTGTGGTGAAGGGGGTTGCCCTCGTAAATAGTAATCAGCAGTATTGGTGATAACGTCAGATATTCGGTAACGCATTGTGATGTAATCCAGGTAGAACAAACCACGAATGATCGCTCTAGTGGTCCGGCCCCCGACCGCTAAGTAATGGCCAGTGTTGTATCTAAAACCTCACTACACTGAATAAAGATGTTGTTAAGGAAGCTCCCTACTGTAGAGACTCCCATCCCATGCCTGTACCAATGCCTGGTACTCCAATAAAAGCGTAGGGATGACCAAAGTTGAGGTCACTTGCTGTTTCTTCGAAGTCTGCTACCGGAGGAGGTTCATGGGGTTGATGATCTGCGAATACTCGTGCCCATATACCAAAGTGATAAGCACCACATAACTCCATCGCCTGCAAATGAGTCGTCGAGACAACATCTCTACTCACCGTTTGATAGTGACCTTAGCCAGTGTTGGTGATGCATGCCACTCCCATGCATCAACGCTAAGTACTATCACGAAAACATCACTTCCGAAGCGTCTGAGATCTGTTGACATCTTCTCTGAAGCTGCTGTATCGGTAAACGTATCATACCTGTGGGTTGGATGTTGAAGGGATGTAATGAGCATACTACATGCTCATATGAAGCAAATGAAGATTACGACGATCCAAGACTGTTAGAAGGAGTCCTTGCTCGGTGCTCCTTCGGAACACTACTTCCCCGTTAATAGTGAGGCTCCCCCATCCAGCATTATTCCGTCCACTGCCTCTGAAGAGAATACCGTTCACCCGTAGTGCGAGATGTGTTCATCATCACATTATCTCGAAAGGGACCCGATCGATAGCCCCAGGGCGTATAGTGTGGGCTAGTAGCGTCTTCGCTGACCAGGGACCATTCCTTTGCTCGAGACCGGTTGCTCGGACACGGAACTCGTACGAGCATCCTTCGCAAATGTCCTCAGTGATCTGATGCCCAAGCTCTATAAAGGCGTATATTTTTCCGATCCACCTCCCAATTAAAGACTCGGCCGAGCCCGATGAAGATCGGTTGCCGTTGACTCCATTCGACTCGCTCCTCTAAATCGTATGTGGCTTCGGGAGGTGGCAAGGATGATATCGAGTCCCACAAGCTGTTGGTATGAGGCCTTCCCTCGAGAACGTCTTGGTAGACTTCCCTCATCGTTTGAAGATCATCCGCGTCTGCTGCACCCTACAGTGAACTCCAATGAGTCGATCCTTTCAAGAGCATGGCGTAATCCATTCAGAGTGGAAACAGCCCACCTCTCGGTTGTGCCATAGAGGAGCCTCTCGCAAACGATTGGTCAAGTCCTCTGCCCTGCTCAAGCTACTGAGTATAGGATGACGGACTTGAACTTCGTAAGCTTGTATCTTGGATATAAATAGAGTCTGGTGCTTATGAAGGGAGATAGGTCTACTTGCTCGAATGGATGACTTGCCGCATCCCATGCTAAGAGGATCGACCTGCGAGTGGCCCTGCTTGGATGCCACTCATGAAAGCGCGGCGGTGTCCACAGCTGCTCATAGTAGACTTGCGCCTCCGCCGTCGTGGTTCGCTCTCCAGGATAGTGTTTAGATATAATCGATTGCCATGAGTTGATAACGGAGAAGACAGAGAGAAGGCGCATCGGCCAACAACTGCGTAACTTGAGAGATGACAAGGCCGCCGACTTCTCTTCCTGTGTCACTAACCACAGTAAGGGATCAATCTCATGCTTTACTGTTGCCTATGACCAACGGGTCGCGCAGAGGAAAGGATGGATTATGCTGGCAACTCCTCCATGGTGGTGAAGTCAGCTGTGGCTATATGGAACTTGATGATAGCTTTTTTGGGCTGAGATGAATCCTCAGAGTTATCGAAAATTTGACGTTGGAAAGCTATTATTTGAAGAAAACAAAAAAACGAATCCATATTCACCGACGATATGAACTAGTAAGTGGAGCAACTTGCCTCTTGCCGATGGGATGCAACTTCTGATAACCTAGAGGTCGTGCTAGTCCACCGACTCGGTGGCACCGAATCACCACGTCCCCCGGACAGTGGCTCAGATATGAGACCTTTGTGGATTAGATCAGAACGGATCCCTCCATAGTAACTCTCGCCATAGAGCTTTTCCTCATAATCCGGAGAACTCATGACCGCTGAGGCATCGCTCTTACTTCCCCTTGGGTGGTGGAGCTCAGTTCCCCGGCAACTCGCATACCGTCATACCATATATTATCATTTTTGTCGACCCATTCGGCATCATCTTCGTCACTCTCTCCAGATTCAGAATTAGAGCTTCTGATTCAGAGGTGAGTAGGGAGTCTTCATCAGAATCTTTCACAGCGAGACGGACGTTCGCTTCTAATGAACGTGAACGATAATCACAAATTATCGTTCACCTTAATGTCATTCACCTGCCCATTGTGCGCCTTGAGGGACAATTGAGGACAAACTTTCCTCAGGGACCAAGCGAACCCCTCTTCTTCTTCTTCTTCATCTACCAAGCTCGATGGAAGGCTCTAATATTGCTTAATATTATCTGGACCGATTAGTGGAGTCCCTCTCCACTTAACTCGGAACGATTAGCAAGCGTGATAGGGTAAACCAACAATCGCCGCTCATGAGATTCGACACGGCAGAAAGGCCACAGGCAAATCTTTTTCAATAACTATCTGTTGGCAACCTCCCATAAGATAGCTTTCTTGTACCCTTTCAAGCACTACAGAGTGGTGGACATTCAAGCCAAGCTCTGAACACTCCGATTCAGTCCATTATTCCAAGGTTCCTACGACAAAACACATCTTGGAGACGACCCCACATTAGAATCTTCATGACAAGTCACCCAGTCATAGCACTGGGTCCGAAGGGTTCGAGGATACTGAGGATGAACAAGAGGAGCTCAGTTGCCGACCTATTGGCAATGATCTTCTCGTTCGAACTTTGGTTTTCGAAGTGTGCCTCATTGGCTACTCAGCAGTACTACTAATGACCACACCCTTTTCCACAATTTGACTGTGTGTGACTGACAACTCGAAACAACTGCGTTCGTATAGAGGCGTTGGCGTACCGTAAATCTGGAATAATAATGATGATGATGATCACGGGCACAATCGGACAATTGATTAGGAGATATTGTTAGCTTTAGTAACACAATTAGCCAGCACAATGTACTAAGTATCCCTGCCAGGAATAGAACTTCCAACTACATGATTGCCAAACTGACAACCAAACCAACCCACCAGCTCCAGTGAAAACCGAACTTCTCTACCAACATTGCCTCGGCTGCGCCAAGCTTAGAACCTAGTTTCATGGTCCACAATACCACCCGGCAGTGTTGTATCATGGAGAGGCTGACGAGCAGTTGGAGGAGAAGCGCTGCCGCTCGTGGAGGCACTCGAAATGTCCTCAGGTCCACTCGGCGTTGGCCAGTATTCGCGATAGGCCAAATGAGAGCCAGCCAATCTTGTAGTTAACCAGGAATAATAATCACCATCGACTTCGCCACCTAAATATGCTGGTAGCTCGGCAGGATCACCTGACAACCTCATGAGCCAGGTTCAATCCCCAACGATAACAACTTACACACACCAGCACACCATTCAACATCACCATCATGAGTTGTGTTGAGGAATGTTACAACATTGGTCAGAGATGAGGGCAATAGTGGTGATACAGCCGCCCAAGCTGCTCGGAAAATGAATGGTGCATCGACGAACATAACGCGGCTAATGTGTGATATATGACCCAAGCCGACAGCACTGAGATGAATAATGTTCAACAACAATAGATACCTCAATAGAAACTCACAGAGCTCCCTTCTTGATATCTCCCACGTTAAGCGTAATATTCTTCATACCAATACCAGCAAAGTCGTACACCAGACACGCACCAAGGCGTACCGATGCAGGGTCGGCTAGAGCCGCATCCAACGCCATCCATGTGGATTTCACGCCTGCTGATGCATGTTAAATGTGCCTCCCTGTGTGCACTAGATAGAGTTACTCACCACATAATATTGGTATGGTTGCTGGTGACATGAATCGCATCCTCACCCACCCCATAGGCCTACCGTCGAGATCTCGACCGGCTTTTACACTGAACCCTGCAAAAACGAGGATATTGGAGAAACAACAAGGATGAGCCGCGATGCACTGGGCTTACCGGCGCTGAAGTTTCGTTGGATTTCAGACTCTGTTATCTCTCGAATAGGTAACTTCTTCAGAAGGTCTTCGTGACGACGCGCCTAAATATAACATGGTGGGTTCGAACTCACATACTTATCCATCTTAATCGAACACCATTACGAGTCGACCAGTGAGGCTTGAGTGTAACCTATCTTACTAGAGCCTCAGCCTTATCAACGTCGAGATTACGAGACCAAGCCAACTTGAGCCAATCATGCGTAACGTATCTGTCTCCTTTGTATCGTAACTTCAACTCCTAGTAGTTAAAACCAACCTCCTCGTTAATTCCGAATTCTTAAGCCTTTCTCGTAGCTCACGGATGCATAGCAGTTCATCCGGTGTAAGGTCATCGTCATCCTTACATAACATAGGCACCTGTATAGAGGTATATCGATTGGCAGAGGGTATCGATGATGCAGTATCACTTCAATGCTCGGCATCATCTCTCCGTTTTCCATACGTTCCAATAGGGGTTCATTCAAGTCCGATCTGGAACAGAAAAGGTATCAAGTTCAATCCCTGATGACGACATTTCTAATACCCAGAGACTGTATAAAAGCTCTGCATTGAGTCAACCCTTCCCCTACGTGGGGTTACTAATGGTAGCGTATTACGCTTGGATGATGCTGCTGCAATCATCGCATCACTCGTAGCTCGCCACCTAATAAACTTGTGATGGATGAAAAAGATGATCTTATCGATAATTTAAGATTTGTAAATATGATCTTATTACTTAGCTCTTGCTGCTCTCAATGTACTAGACTCTCTCCTTTGCTTTTTAATGCCCTCATTCTTCTTAATATAGTTACATAACAACCAACCCATATACATAGCGAATGCACACAATACTGCTGTATGCACCTGACAATGTACAGGATGTTACCTTACACATACAGATCGGCGGCGCATTCACGTCCAGACCAGAAGCTCTCGTCGTTTTCAAGAGCGTAGAAGATTCGAAGCCAAGCTTGTTATTATCACCTTGTACACCAACGTGTAGCCATCGTACTCCTGAAAGGGTTGGCAGCTGTAGAAAATGGAAGAAGTATCCGCAGACTTGGAGCCCGAACATGACAGATCTGCAATGAGCTCCAGAAGGAGCAGGGGTGCATACCTAACCACCACCACATCATCGAATGCAAGTGACGGCTTCAAACCACGGTAGTACGATAAATAAAGTATACATGACATAACTGTCGCCATTTTACTTTCCCGTATTTCCCAGACTAATAAGAGAAAGCTCGCACAGCATAATATGATGGATCGGAGTAAGTACCTGGACTTTATGATGAAGACATGAGTATAGTGGTGACACGGTAGTACATCGATGATGGTGATACGTAGTACATCTCTTGAGCTTTACCATATGTAATTATTGATACCACTGAATCGAATACTCCAACCATACCAACTACCTGACCACATAATGAGCTAATCTTCCACTTGTTTGGTCGTTTTGATATTGCTGCTCATGCGAGCCCGGTATTCATCGATGTAGACGTTACGTAAGAGTCTCAGTACTTCTGTTCACACCATCACTTTATTACTGGTCTCGAAGTCACTGATTCTATCGTGAGGCCGCGTGCGCACCGAAATATAGAGGTTTTCACAAATGATGGCTACTGGCCGTACCATCGACCTACTAACTACCCCATTGTTCTCCCATAGACCACCACCACAATACTGAGTGACTACTATTACTACGTACTAGCCATATAAAGGAGTATGTCCGTATAGAGTTAGTAAGACGATTGATGTCCATATTGTGTTGGAACTCGGCATGGGTAGCTGTTGGAGGACGGGTATCAGCTCGATACTCTGCTGGAGTTAATCCTTCGTTTGGAAAGTACATTAAAACTACTACTAATGACACCTCATAAACTCAATAACCATTGATCTGATCCCATCATAATTCAATATCATATACTCCATAACACTATTTAGCACAGTAGAACCACTCAACGACTACGACTACGACGCGGTGATTGTCGATATTGAGACACTCCAAGACACGGCAAGTGTGCAAGAGTATCTACCAACTCCTCGCCTCGTGGTCGTCGTCGTCGTCGCAACCGGGTGGTGGTAGAACCTTCATGACCATATCCGATGGGGAACCAGAGGCTTGAATCCAAACTGTTTGATAATAAACCTCATTCATTGGTCATAACCTTTCTAAAGTCAGAGAAGAATTACTCAAGTGTGGAAAACGGCGGGGGGTGCTGCTGGTGGTGGTAGATGAGGTGCTGCCAATATTACTTGATTCGTACGAGTTGTACTACTTCTGAAGTAGTTGAATAGTTGTCTTATTATGGCCTTATGAAGCTGTGGCGATGGTGGGGTAATAATAGTAACATCTCATCACAACTACCATCTGATGATGATGAAGAGATGGTCTATCATTCACTGGGAGGAGGGGCATATTACAGTGCATGTAGTCTGGAAGAAGAGCTCGACCAGTACCGACCTCTACCATCTCAAATTATGGTAATCACACTCTTAGTCAGTCCTGATAACAACAGTATATCCTAATAATTACGTACGATTATGTGACTCGCTCTAATGATTACCCTCTCTTTATCAACGTCATCATTGCAACGACGTAGAAGAAGCCATTTAGTACTTGATATTAGTCTTGATATTCAGTGTTGAGGAATGGATATTCCTCTTTTTGTATCAGAAAGAACCGAATAAGAGATACAGCGTGGACCAAAGTGAAGGGTTATCATCATTGGACTCATTATTCATTACTACAACACCTGTGGTCGATAGCCGAAGCCGAAGGTCCCGGTATAACTCCACGATATCTGATGTATCATCAAGTGCTAGATGGAGGAATAAGAGGATAATACCATGGCATGTTGGCGGAAAGAGGGTAGTAGACAATTCTTAGGAAACTCCAGAGCTCACCTGAGGGAACTATACATGACACCGTTTTCAATCGCTATTTTATGATTATGATCGGAATCTATCTGAATTCAGATTCGCCTCAGCCGCCGTATGAAGATCGCCTTGTCCTGTCTCGTTGTCTGCTCTATAGTGTTCATCATCATTTATGAGCTCTTCGACGTCTTGCCGTGGAAACTCATCAGCATACCTTTAGTCAGTGTAATAGAAGTCGAGAGTAGCGTAGTGGTGATTCTCCTTGTCTTACATCCCGTACACGCAGGTTCACTCCTTTGTTTAGGTTGTATTCACCTGGTTTCATATCTGGCTCGCACTGCAGATGTGCTTCTTTCCCATAGACTATTATGGATATGATATTACAGGTCATCATCAGGGTATTGGATGGCAGGGTATAGTACCCCGTAAGGCGGATAAGATGGCCGCTACTGCATGCGATCTCATGGTAGTATTATATGAACAACTCTGGGTACTCAATTAGACTTCACAACTGCCTTACATGATCAAGAGTACTAAGGTGCTATACTCAGGTCTTAAGTCCAATCACTAAATACATTAGTTAATTTTAATTTCTAATTTCATATCTGGATAATTCGGCTGATTTGTATCATTCATAAGATGCCTCATAATAATGCACTATAGGTTGCTACTGTCTTCTGTGACAGGTCGACAGGCTTATCTATGTGAGGGAAATTGTCGAGAGAATTGACGCCACTGATCTGTATCGATATCTATCATCAACTGGAATACTAAGAAGTGTTCAACAAGAAGTTAATCGAAGAATCGGGAATAGGTACTACGGACATCATCATCATCATCACACAATTCATTACAGATGGTTTGCTGGAGTTTGGTCATCCCTTCCTGGAGCAGTTAAGGAGGAGCTTTTGGAGAAGTCATTAGAATTGTCCGAGGATAGCTTACAGTCTATGGTGGCTGAAGCTAAGAAGTCTTTAATGGATAAGGATCTCTTTGATGTTAGGGTAAGGATGATGTTACACCTGCTACCTTCTTGTGGTGGATCATCTGTTCGTGTACTTGTGGTTGGGGGGAACTGTGACTTTGTGAAAGTTGTACATGTGAATAGTGTCTCGCTGTTATGACTTCTTGAATTCACTCCTACTGTTGTGCACGTGAAATGATAAAGTGTCGAAAAATGAACCAGGGCTAGTATCAACTATCGGCAGTATCAATGATGATGGTGATGCGACCGGGCATGTGTACCCATTAGCACTATTATCCAAAGTGTGTAGTACAAGTGGATTCCCTGGATAAGGTTGCTATAAGATTTAGGATGATGGATATGCGATACTTCAGGATCTGATTATACGATGTTTCGTGGACGATAGAAGGATGCTGTCGGAGTTCTTCATTAAGATAGGCAAGAAGGAACTCCACTTCCTCGAATTCATGGGTGCTGTGATGGGATTATTCTGTGGACTGGTAGTAACATCTGACGACGACGACGACCATCATTCATGTGACCTTCATCATTAGGCACAACTTGCATTGTACATGGGTATGTCGGCCGAATACCGTGGCCAAGAGCAGGATGACTCAGCATATAGTTGGCTATTGTTCCCTCTTACTGGTCTTGTTATTGGCCTCTTCACCAATTGGGTTGCATTACAGCTCATATTCCGTCCGGTAAGCAGCTAACGGCTCGTGAGTGATTCACGGCTACCATGGTCAGGTAGAGCCACATATGGTAAAGGTGCCCTGTAGAGGACACAGCATTAAGGTTCAAGGTCTCTTCTTAAGACGCCAACCTGAGGTCTCGAGAGTCTATAGCTCTCTTGTGTCTGATAGTAGGGGTATAGGATGCTCGTCCTAAGGTTCGAATCCTACCTGTCCTCCTCTTCTCAGGTATCCTCAATTGCAATAGGTTTGTAGCGTATTTGCAGACAACTAAAGGTTGGGATAGGATTCTAGAAGCATTTAAGGAGACTATCAACAACACTATGGATGGGATCATCTCTACCCCAGCAGCTATCGCTATTAAAATAGCTGGCAAAGAGGGCTCGTGAGACCGGCGGGACTACTGGCATGCTGTTGATGATGACAGCAGTCGACTATTCTCATAGGTTTGCCTCTCTCTCAGGTATGAGAGATTCAAGAATGATGTAGCTCATGAACTGAAGGTAGAGTTAAGTCATACACACTATGTGGACATGTATGAGAGGTGACAACTTTATTATGAGCAGCAGCATCTTACAGCAGCTTGATGAATAGGTATATGGATAGTAGGTTGGGAATAAGAGACCTGATGGCTCAGCGTCTCGCAGCGATGCCTGCTAAAGACTTCGAGAGGATGCTGCATCCAGTAGTGGAGAAAGGAGTGGTATTAGTGAAAATTGGTCTTATCAGGTGTTTCAAGAAGATGAAGGGACTCTTGTCATTCTAGGTGGTGTCCTAGGCGCTGCTGTTGGTTGTCTACAAGTGTGGATATTCGGACTATAACTCTTCGTTCTTATCATTACCCCCACTTCCTCTACCATTGCTTTTACCGCACTCTACATACTATTCGTGTTTGTCCCCGTTTTTTCTTATAATTTGGTTTTGGGTTTTGGACATAGTAAGAGGCTCATTGTCGGCTCATCATTCCGCAAGCGTGAACGTACCCTAGGATTCCTGGATATCCACCCTCTGAAATCAATCAGGCCTCGTATTCCCTTGAAAGGGATGACGAGGGTGAGTTCCGCCTGGCCACACGGATGACACTTGACGGATCGAACCCAATCAACATATGGTAGAGAAGTGAGGAGCATGAGAAGGCATAGAAGGGTTCAAGCCCTTCTATGCTCAATCGAACCCATGGTCTGTACCGCTAAGGAGCATCTGCCCTCAGGTGACTTGCCAGGGGTCTCCCATTGGTCTTACTTACACTCCCGTGATGGAGGGGGACTAGCGGCCCGACATCAGCGTTCCGGCTGTGGTAATATGATCATTCCAATCCAAACAAGTTCTTTCGTACCATCGCCTCCGGGATCGACCAGCATCAAAAGAACCGCCGAGGGGATGCGTGTCATCGTGGCCATCAGCATAAGCTGGACCGAGATGAATCATATATTAGGTACCCCACTCGATGACTAATAACGCAAGTCTGATGTTGGTTGAATAAAGTAAGGCCACCATGACCTTATGGAGTATTCACGAAAATGAGGCTTAGGAAGACCTAGCACCACCAAAGTCGTTGCCAACTCTAGCCACCATGTTGGCTCGTGCCTGAGGGAGTATTTGTGATTATCATTATACTGTTGTTGAAGCTGCTGACCTGATTGGTACAATAGGTTATGATATCAGCTATCTGAACATGTCTAGGTCGAGTAAGGGCATAGACGATATTATCAGCGATATCATTAGCATTAAGGGGGATAACTCCTTCATACACTGCATCAGCTGCTTCCTTGTTATCCAAGCGGACCTGATGTTTCACTTCATACACTGAGTTAAGTGTAGTAAGGCTTACTATTGAGAACTCCGTCTCAACTAGACCTGGTGACACGCAGGTGACACGAATAGGTGTATCAACAAGATCCATTCGAGCGGCCATTGAATAACCAGTAACTGCGAACTTGGTCCCGTTGTAGATTGATCCACCAGTGTATGGCTACAGACAAGAAAACAATAAGTGACTTTAAGAATATGAAGAATACCTCGCGGCCAGCCACTGAGCTGACATTTAAGATGTGGCCCTTACCAGCCTTCAACATCCCTGGTACGAATGCCTTAATCATGGCCATATAACCAATGACGTTAACCTGTTATCAACTTAGATACTCATCAACTGTAGTTGTACCCACTTCAAACATGCTTCGTATGTCATCAACATCAGCCTCCCAGGCCTTAGGAACTCCAGCTGCATATCCAGCGTTGTTGACTAAAATGTCAATAGGTTGCCCGATCTAGAGGATAACAACAACAATAGGGGGGGGCAACTAGTATAGCTAGAACGCCTACCTTTTGAGGTAGTCCCTCAATAGCCTTGCTGTTCTTCACATCGAAAGGTATACAATGTACCTTCACACTTGGGAATTGGCCCTCCAACTCCTCCTTTAAGGCATCCAATCTATCAGTTCTACGCCCCAACTAAAAGGATATGTACAGCATGCAGTATCTAGAGAGGATGTACCAGATAGAGCTCGCAACCGAGTTCTGCAAGGCGTCTAGCTGTAGCTTGGCCAATGCCAGCTGTAGCTCCAGTGATGAGGGCTCTCTCCCCCTTCAAACTGATAGGACCATAATACTGCGAAGATTGCATAGACATATTCCTTGTAAAGTGATCACAATATGAAACTACTAACTCTGAGATATCGAGTTCACGACGGATCCGGGACACACTACACAATACAGATGATATTAACGTAACAGCAGCATAAAGGAGGCTACAGATGATACACATCCCTGATGTGACATCAGACAGGTACTACATACTTGGCCATCCTCCAGTCCACATCATCATAGCCCAGAAGGTATACTACAGGGGCTATACATCATCATCTTAATAACTCAGCGGCTCAGGAGCTCGAACACTGCGATAAAGATGAGCGTTGAGGTCTGCGAACCACTGGAGATCCTTATTCGACAAGGGATGATACCATGATGGGCAGTTACCAGCCTTAAGTATACCTAATAGAGAGAACATAATACTGGATTGTATATGCCATACTACTACTATTACCTCTAGCACACAACTTGTCCCTATGCCTTACAGCCAACTCCAACTCCTCTACTATGTCCCCATCACTGACTTCAGCTAGTGCTTTACAAGTTAGTTCCACAGCCTCATCGCCATTGACTATCCCTGAAAGCCTTGATAACACATGGGAGTTTACCTATATGTGGAATGCAGTTCAGTTCCAGGTCCAAGGATCCTACAGCATTCCAAAGGGCTGATTTCCCCTCTCCATTACGCGATGCCCTTTTATGGGAATATCCACTTCCATAATAATCCAACATAGACTTAACATTCCTATAACAGAAGCGTCTGGCTGCCTCATGAAGGGCTCCAACAGAGTCAGGATCCCCCTTGCTTCGACTCAAGAGGAGCTCGAGCATCCCTAATATCGCTTCATACCACCACATATTACTGGTATACTACCGTTTTTAGCATCAGTCTTGGAGCAAAGATATATCGCTGCTGTACATGCAGCCGTATTCTCTCGTAATCCAGTGAAGTAGTCTAGTGCTGTATTCATCTCTACTACACCAATGCCTTTAAGAGCAATCTGTAAGAGAGTTCGAGCTGGGCCGACATGGAGGCCTCCAGCATGATACCGTCGGAAATGCATAAGACGATAGAGGTCGTACGGCGGCGGGGGCGGGGGCGGGAGTATGGCAGCAGTATGATGATATAACCGATGATGGTGGCATCCTAGGTGTATACTACTAGAGTTGTAGTAATCTAGGCCACCAAAGTCACGATGCAGTAATAAGATCCATATAACGTTGAGGTTAGCATGGTATTTTGTGGTACTAAGGTAATGTACGACACTTGAAATGTCCAAATACTCGATCAATATGCATGTTAAGTCAAGTGGAAGGGAGGACAACATTCAAGTGCCTTAGAGAATAACCTTAGTGGTAACTTGAACGCAACAAGCTTCGAATGGTAATAAAGACACAAACATGTGATCGTTACTGAGTTGCTATTATTAGGACTTGTTATGATCATGTTCACTATGTCAAGCTACTATCACAGTCCATAATGTACTCTCCATCAGTGTCCAGAATATGCATAGAGTTGTGGCACAGCATTTATGGTTTGTCTTCAGCCAGCGCAACATGGGTCTCCCTGGCTCTTCAGATTTCATAAGCATTCGCTCTCGCTGTATTCACGCGCCTTGATGCCTCCCAATAGGGTACCAGCCTTCTCAGCTATCTATGGATCTATTCTTGTTCTATTACTCCTGCACTCAAAGGTTCGAAAACTGGTGATCCTGAGAGTCATTCCCACTCGCTAGGAGTCACGCTACAGCCTAGTGGCATAAATAACAATAGCGTTGTGCCCATCCTTGAGCAGACGAAGGACACTCTAGTGTTGTAGTCTACTCTCTCTCTGGAGTTGAACATATGTACTCCGAAATGAACGCAACTTGTTGTTGTTAATCAGTTAGAAGCTTGTTCATGGTGACGTAAGTAGCGGACGCCATTGTAATCGATTTTTCTCGGAAAGTTAATACTTTCTTGTATTAGACGAGGTGAGTTGGATGATATCAATTGGTGTTATGGTTATAGATATTACTATGTTATCGATCAAGATATTCCCTATTTATCATAGAATATTTGTAATAATAATACGAAGCAATCGACCCGGTTTATTCTCATAACGATGCCCTTATATTCGCTCTTATTCCAAGGTTATACCTTGTTCGATCGTAGGTATGGTGTGATTGCTGACAACTTATAGGTCTATGGGAATAGGTCGTGTTGTCATCACAGCAATAGGAGTACTATCATAGATTCTTGACGCCAATGGTGGCTTAGGATCAACTTGACAACGATTCGGAACTTTGAAATATACTATGAAACTTTGAGAAGTACTCTGCCACCGTGGTCCGCGATGGCTGGAGAGTTGATTCATGTTACTGAGGGTAGACGCAAACCTTAAACGGGCTCTGTGATGATATCATGTCTAGTATGTTAGTAATAATGAGGAAGAATTATGGTAGGGGATCTGCGGGTGGTATTTCGTCATTATCGTCCTTCTATATCCTCCAATCTTGGCGGCTTCTGTACTAGTCAATCTGATCGAATTGTTGTATGACATTCCTCCATCTATATAGCGTCCCGGATTGGAGTCGATCCAGTGGTACTGCCCCCACTCTAGCCAACAAGGACAGGTGATTAAGTAGTAGCTCGATGAGGATAACATGAGTAGTATGGTCGTCGTGTATTGTGTTATCATAGGGATTCTACGACTAGTAGAGGCCGCCTATCACAAACATGCTGCTTCTATTCTTATGATTCACACGTCGGGTAGATGACAACTTGATGCTGATTCACGGGTTGATGGTATCATTCCCTTATAGCTCTACTGTGTCGAAATACCGCTATAGGTTACTCGGTGTTTATTGGATGATACAATGTAATAATTAATACCCTTCATATACTATCATCTGTAGAGTTAGCTATAGAGACTAACCTTTGGTAGTGTTATGCTCATTACATTCAATGACAGAGCCGTCGAAACCCAAGCTCACTGAGGCTGACATCCCTGAAGTCTTGCAAAGGGCCGAGCCGTTTTTACGTTATCCGATGTCACCGCTCTACTTAATGAGAAGTATAGTCTTCGGGGTAATTCTAGTACCAATTCGACTAAGCCTCTTCATCTCGAGTATGTTCATTGCTGGTTTTGTTTTCTATATCGGCCACTTTACAAACTCCGATACACTAGCGTTCGGTGCTATGAGGTTTTGGGGTAAGTTTGCCGTATATTGCCTCGGTATTGTACCGGAAGTTACTGCTGATTCATCAGCACCCAGCCCTCAAGAGATCACCAATACATCCTACGTCATCGTAGCTGATCATATAAGCTTTGTGGAGGTACTCTATCTATTATCAATGTATTTGCCAGCTTTTGTTGGGAAAGTCCCTCTCAAGAAGACACCTCTTATTGGTGACTGCATGCGACATTTAGATTGTATATTTGTGAATCGATTGATCGGTAAGAAGGCTACATCTACAACGGAGCTTCTGGAGGCACATGTGACCAAGTCCGATAACTTGAGGCCACTACTATTGTTCCCAGAAGGTACAACTTCTAATGGCTTGGGGTTGATATCTTTTCACACTGGTGCGTTCTGTCTCGGAAAACCTGTTCTCCCGGTTATTATTTGGTATCCTAACTTTGTTCGAGGTCAACAATTCGATCCGCACTGGTCATACGGGAGTATTATTCCCTTTATCTTGGGTATGATGGCTCAGCCATATACTACAATGCGTGTACACGTTATGGCACCAGTAGCTTGTAGAGATGGAGAGAGCCCTCGTGAGTTCGCTGAGAGAGTACGTGGATTGATGGGTGAGAAGATTGGTATTCCTCTACTTGATGGTGACTATAAGGATAAGGTCCGCTTGAATAAGTTGGTAGAAGCTGGCATATTGAATGATGATGAGGTCTATCAGTATGCCAAGGATAGTATGTTAAAAAGGAGGAGGAGGAGGAGTAAACGGGACTAATGAATCGTGTTGGTCGGGTAAGTAGTATCATCTCGGATAGCAATACTATTTGTATAGTAAAAGCAGGGGTGTTGAGTTAGTAGTGACCGTCGGGCGCTTCACTCTACAACTGCAATGCAAATCCGAACACACCAGAACAGCTACTGAACGGCGATATTAAACCATTACAAGTAGCCCATAAACTACTTGTATGTGTTTATTGCATATATTACCTGGAGGAGCTTAATACATCGATCACCGAAGAAATCGTTGTGAGCATGGTTACAGTCGATAGCATGATATGAGAACCTATGATCTGGAGCTGACTCCAACACCGATTCACAACACTCATTATCATCAACTGCTTCAACCCAACAGAGTATCGTTTACATGCCGATCGGTCACATCACTCTACCCGGCAAAACGAATCTACGCATAACTCGCACCCGGTGGGTTTGATGCCACTCTACACGAGGGGATATACCCTGATGATGCGGAGTTTTACGTAGTACACAGGTCTATGCAGCGGGTGCGATGAGGAGGATGACATCGTCTGTCCCAGTGCATGAGCTAATGGGCTAATGGGTTGCAGATAGCTATGGATACCAGGACATGAAGCTGGATGGTCGTGCTCTTCCGCGTATGCCCTAGCTCTAACGTGTGATAGGTAATAGAGAATCTAGTGGAGTACCATCAGACTAGACGAAGTCGCTCTCGTCTAACCTTGGCAGCATAACGACAGCTACTGCCATGCATATATCCATGTAGCTGTAGTTGGATTACTCGAAAGATGTCAGTCTGAGCATAAACATCGTAGCCAAGATCGAGGTAGATTACTGCCTTCCTGAATGTCTCGAAAAAGGGATGTCTACGACCTGTATTAACCCTTAATTTGTATCTGTGTTAACATACATCGGATGTACAGTTTTGAGCACAATTTCTGGAAGGCAGGCAGCTACCTTCCTGTCCTCCTCCTCCCTCGTCTGGAGTATCAGCAGGTCTATCAATGCAAATGTTCAACAACTCATCTCGCCTCTCCTCTTCCAGAGGCGGCCCAAGCCGAACTCGGCACCCCATCTGATCATAGCCTGACTGGGGGGATGTGTGACATTCATGACTCGATTGTGGATGTGACGTCCAGAACCTCTGTCACCGGTATGGCATCTGCTAACATTTGACGACCTAATCCGGAGACAAAAATTGTGTCATACCACGCCTTCGCCACATCGCACTACAATAAAGACCGCGTGGTGACATACCTTATTGTCTTTGTTTAACCTTAGACCGCAACATTTGTCTATACGACTATTCCACCAATGATGAGTCATACGCTACATCCGCACCAAT